AAATGAACAGTCAACCAGAAAAGAATGAAAAAACAAGAATTCAAAAAAATGAGGAGAGGCTTAGGAACCTCCAGGACATCTTTAAATGTTCCAACATCCAAATCACAGGGATGCCAGAAGGAGAAGAGGAAGAGCAAGAAATGGAAAACTTACTTGAAAAAATAATGGAGAATTTCCCCAATTTGGCAAAGGAAATGGACTTCTAGGAAGTCCAGGAAGGCCAGAGAGTCCCAAAAAAGTTGGACCCCAGGAGGAACACACCAAGGCACATCATAATTACATTAGCCAAGATTAAAGATAAGGAGAGAATCTGAGAAGCAGCAAGAGAAAAGGAGATAGTTACCTACAAAGGAGTTCCCATAAGGCTATCAGTTGATTTCTCAAAACAGACCTTGCAGGCAAGAAGGGGCTGGAAAAAAGTATTCCAAGTCATGAAAGGTAAGGACCTACATCCAAGATTGCTCCATCCAGCAAAGCTTTCATTTAGAATGGAAGGGCAGATAAAGTGCTTCTCAGATAAGGTCAAGTTAAAGGAGTTTATCACCACCAAGCACTTATTATATAAAATGTTAAAGGCATTTATTTATCTAAGAAAAAGAAGATAGAAAAATATGAACAGTAAAACGACAGCAAACTCACAGTTATTAACAACCACACCTAAAAAAAAAAAACAAAAACAAAAGCAAAGGAATCAACTAGAACAGGAACAGAATCACAGAAATGGAGATCACATGGAGGGTTATCAGCAGGGGAGTGGGAGGGGGAGAGAGGGGGAAAAGGTACAGAGAATAAGTAGCATAAATGGTAGGTAGAAAATAGGGAGAGATAAGAATAGTATAGGAAATGTAGAAGCCAAAGAACTTACATGTAGGACCCATCGACAAGTACTAAAGGTGGGGAGAATGCAGATGGGAGGAGGTGTGCTGGGCAGAAGGGAATAAAGGAGGGAAATGGAAAAACTGTAATAGCATAATCAATAAAATATATATATATTTTAAAGATTGTATTTTTATTTATTTTTAGAGAGGGAAGGGAGGGAGATAGAGAGAGAGAGAGAAACATCAATGTGTGGTTGCTGGGGGTTATGGCCTGCAACCCAGGCATGTACCCTGGCTGGGAATCGAACCTGCGACACTTTGGTTTGCAGCCCGCGCTCAATACACTGAGCTACGCCAGCCAGGGCTAATAAAATATATTTTTAAAAACTTTTTAAAAAGGAAAAATGGGCAGGGGTTCTAAACAGACACCTCTCCCAAGAAGACATACAATTGGTGAATAAATGTATGAAAAAATGTTCAACCTAACTATTAGGGAGATGCAAATCATAACTACCATGAGATACCACCTCATATTATCAACACAAGAAGTGATAACAAGTGTGGAGAGGTTGTGGAGAAAAGGGAACTCTCCTTCACTGCTGGTAGGAATATAGACTGGTACAGCTACTATGGAAAACAGTTCCTAAAATAATTAAGAATAGTTACCATATGACCAACCAATCCCTTTCCTGGGTATCTACCCCCAAAATTACAAATATGTATTCTTAAATATATATGCACCCCTTCGTTCATCACAGCATGATTCACAGTGGCCAAGACACGGAGACAACCAAAGTGTCCTTCAATAGAGAATTGAATAAAGAGGATGTGGTACATACACACAGTGGACTACTACTCAGGCATAAGAAAAAATGAAATACTGCCATTTGCAACAACACGGATGGACCCTGAGAATTTATGCTAAGTGAAATAAGTCAGTCAGAAAAAGCTAAGAACCATACTTTTCTTTCACCATTTTTCCATGCTCATATGAGCTCTATATAATTCAATTACTTCCATATTTTCCCCTGCCCCTTCTCAGTTTTGAAAAGACAGATGAATGCTTTTGGTTAGAGAGACTAATCCTAAAGTTTTCTCTTACAGTATGTTTCCTATATCAAGTTATTTGGTACTTATATTTCATATTCCCAATGATTCTATCACAACTCATTTACATCTAGCCATACAAATTACAGGGTTACTTCCTAGAAATTATTTCCACTCATTTCCCTCTATTTAGAAGTCTCTTTTCTGATTGATTTGTTTGGTTAAAAGCACTTACAGATGATTTTTGTCAAATATGATATCCTTGCACATACCCCTATCTTCCCTTCATCTTGTTAATACATATTATCTTGATTGGATCCCTTCTTATCAGTAATCTATAGATGTTATTCCTCTGACTTCTAGTTTCTCTTGTTGCAGACAATGAGTATGCAATCTGTTTTTTCCTTTGTAACATATTATTCTGGAAAGCCTGTAAGATTTCTTTTTTATCCATAAAATTCTGAGATTCTCCAAGGTGTCTTTTCTTCCCAATAAATTCAACCTTAAACTTGGTAAAAAGTTTAATCTGTACACTAAAGTCTTTCTTCAGCTCAAGGGAATTGTTTTCTGTTTTTAGTTCTATTATTGTTTCTCCTCTATCTGTTCTTTATCCTCCTCCTGGGATTCCTGATATTTGCATGTCATGGTCCCTAAATCTTTTTTCTTTTTCTTCAGAGTGTTTTTCCTCTGAGATATCCCTTGTACTTGAACTTGTAAGCTACTTACACATGTGTTAACAGTGACCATTCCATTCTTCAATTCAAATACTGTATTATTATTTTAATTCAAAACACATCTTTGTATAGTTCCAATAAATCATTTTTCATGCTACAATTCAATCTCTTAAGTAGCTGTATTTATTTACTCAAGGTATTTTCTGTTTTCTTTAGCAGTTTTATTTCACTGAAAGCTGCTTTTCTGGGACTGTGGCATAGTCTTTCTGTGTTGGACATTAGCTGCACTGCACTCTTTTGTCTCCTTATTGTTCTATTCACCCCTAAACAATTTAAATGGTGGCAATCCTGCCAGCAGTGGCAAGCACAGCAGTCTCTTCCCCATGGGTAGGTGACGTATCAGATGTACCAGTCATTGAATCCCTCTGGGGGCCTAAATAAGGCTCCTTGGTCCCCTCACTGTCTGAGCCTCAAGGGTAGGAAATACTTACTTGACCTGTTGAATCACCCTGTTGAGTACTCAGATCTCCATGGGTCAAGCTATTTCCAGGAACTTCTGAGTATTTATTCTCTTTCCAGTGCTGGTCCCATCCTGTCCTCTGGACCAGAAGGGAACCAAGTTCTTCACAAGCTTCTCATTTGCTTCTCTTATAGAATCAATGCTTTGCTCATTCCTTCCAAATCCTGCCTGCCTGCCACCCCAACATCTGCTCCTCTCAGGACAGTTTGTGGCTGGTTAGAAAGGGAGGACAGCAAGGACATGACTTTCAACAGTCACCTTTCCAGAAACCCTCTACTCTCAAATAAGTGGACTATAGGGAATCAGTCCACATGGCAATGGCGAATGTAGCTCAGTCCTGGTTCGGATAACTGACAGGCGTGAGGCGGCACACAGGAGCCAGGCCCACAGATCGGCTTTCCCCTGGGGAACCAGGCCTGCATTATATCTAGGCTGCTTTGAGGCTTGCTTTTGCTAAAACTCCCTCACCCTGAGTTGAGGCAGCAAATGTTTAATGCATATCTTCGAAGTAACTTCCTAAAGTCTATGCTAACCCTCCCAAGGGCGAGTGTAACCAGTTCAACCACTTTTCCCCAACCACTTTGCCACTTCCATTTTCCATTCCCCTTCTTTGTTATCTGTAAGAAGTAATCACCTAAAGCAAACTTGAGCATGATGAATGAGAACCTTCTTTGATGTAATGCTCCCAGAAAGCAATTAAAGCCTGTCTAGGCAAGGGTCGGTGCTCTCTCACTCAGAGAGTAGCCATGCCGCCCCTTTTCTCCACAGGACTTCTGCAGTCCATGTGAATTTGTTCGTCGTATCCACAACACCACAGACACCACTGATTGGAGTCTGCATCAGTGAACAATATTTCCGTTGCCATCTATATGTCTCAAGGAATGTAATGAAGAATATAAAGATTCTTTCAAAAGGATGCCAAGGCTTTCATTCATTCATGCAATAAGTATCTGTGTGCCACAGTGGTTTCAGGAGCAGAAACATCATTATTGAGTTTCCTTGGAATGAGGCCACTCTAACTTAGGTGTTTAAGTTCTGTGTTAGTATAATAAAGGTTCTGTTAAATTTTTAAAAAGTGAAATGAAAAAGTGGTTCCCATTATGTATTCTCTTGATCATTAAATACACTTTCCTGACATAGGATTGCCATTTATTTTTAAGATGAAAAAACTTCAGGTTTGCACAAGCATTATCTGTTAAATATATGGAAAAAAAGTATAGAGAAGAGATTGTCTTTTTCCTTCTTTAAGCTAGTTATTATATGTAAGTGGAGAATAGGAACCCATGAGAAGGGCAAGCTTTCCCTTTCTGTCAATTTTGTTGGGTCTCCCTCATTTTTACACAGCATTTTCCCAGGCCATCAATACCTGCCATACATGAATTCTAAAGCTGCATACAATGTAAGGAGGTCTAGGCACTCTGTGGACTCAGAATTCATGTGGAAGTACACATAAATCAGCTTTTTACACATGAAAAAGATAAAGGAAGCACTGTAAGAAAGTAAAGAAGCATTTGTTGGGATGTATGAGGAGAAAACAAAAGCATGAGAGTCTGCAGAATTTAGTAAGGTACCAAGATGAGGATGCACAGTTGGCTTCCTGTTGGCATCAGTAAAACTCTCCAAGTGATCCAGTGTTCAATGTTTCAAGTATAGCAATCTGCATAAGTCAGTCATACAGTCCAAGTCAAAGCTAGAAGATATACAATAAAGACTTTAACTCGTTTCCCAAAGACTGAGGTTACCTTCGATAGCCTACTCATGACTACACTACCTTGCTCACCCAAGTTGCATCTCAAGTGTCAAGAACAATAAATGACAAAAGCATTTGAGATCTTGCTCCCCAGCATACGCCATCGGTTTGGTTCAAATAAACTCTTACAGAAATTTAAAAAACAGAACAATAAATGAGAATCCAAAAATAAATTTTTTTAAACTATATACCTGTTTTAGGCCATAATGCATTGACTGCAACTTCACCTTTAAATTCTTCTGCCATTCCAAGCACACACATAGACATACCATACTTAGCAATGGTATAAGCTGAAAAAAACCACAAAATATTTAATTAAGAAATAAATTTTTAAAAAAGAAATTAATTTGCAAATATAAATAATCAATTTCTTTCTATTACTATTTCCTTCCTGACACATTTTTTTTGGAATTCATTTTTTTTAATTTTTGAAGATTTTACTTATTTATTTTTAGAGAGGGGAAGGGAGGAAGAGAGGGAGAGAAACATCAGTGTGTGGTTGCCTAAATCACACACTGCACCCCCTACTGGGGACCTGGAAAGCAACCCAGGCATGTTCACTGAATGGGAATGGAACTGGCGACCCTTTGGTTTGTAAGCCAGCGCTCAGTCTACTGAGCCACACCAGCCAGTGCTAGAATTCTTTAATAATATGTAAAAAACATAATTTTTGAAAAATTATGCTATTACAGTTGTCCCAAGTTTTCCTTTGTCTCCCTCTAACCAGCCCCCATACTCCCTCAGGCAATCTCCACACCACTGTCCCTATGTATGGGTCCTGCATATGGGATATGTACTTTGGCTACTCTATTCCCTAGGCTGTACTTTATATCCCCATGACAATTCTGTAACTACCAATTTGTATTTCTTAATCCCCAATACCCCTCCCATCTGGTAACCATCAAAATGTACTCTATATTTATGATTCTGTTTCTGTTCTGTTTGTTTATTTTGTTTTTAAGATTCAATTATTGACAGGTATGTATTTATTGCCCCTTTAACATTTCATATAATAATGGTTTGGTGATGATGAACTTCTTTAGTTTTTTCTTGTCTGAGAAGCTCTGTATCTGTTCTTTGATTCTAAATGGTATCTTTGCTGGGTAAAGCAATCTTGGATGTAGGTCCCTGCTTTTCATGACTTTGAATATTTCTTGCCAATCATTTCTAGCCCACAGTTTCTTTTGAGAACTCAGCTGACAGTTTTATGGGAACTCCCCTATATGTAACTAACTGCTTTTCTCTTGCTGCTTTTTAAAGATTCTTTATCTTTAAACTTTTACATTTTAATTATGATGTGTCTTGGCATAGGCCTCTTTGCATCCATTTTGTTTGGGACTCTCCTTGCTTCCTGGACTTGCGTGTCTATTTATTTCACAAAATTAGGAAAGTTTTCTTTCATTATTTTTTCAAATAGATTTCCAATTTTTTGCTCTTTCTCTTCTCCTTCTGGAACCCCTATGATGCAAATGTTGGGCCTCTTGAAGTGTTTTTGGATTCTTCCTTCTTGTTTTGATTGGTTGTTGTTTGCTTCCTTATGTTCCAAACCATTGATTTGATTCTCAGCTTTATCTACTCTATGTTGTTCCCCTGTAAATTGTTCATTTCAATTAGTGTATCCTTTGTTTCTGACCGGATCTTTTTTAGGCTGTTGAGATCCTCACTAAGTTCCTTGATCATCCTTATAACCAGGATTTTGAATTCTGTATCTGATAGATTATTTCCATTTTGTTTAGTTTTTTTTCTGGAGTTTTGTTCTGTTCTTTCATTTGGGCCATGTTTCTTTGTTTCCTCATTTTGGCAGCCTCCCTGGGTTTGTTTTTGTGTATTAGGTAGAGTTACTACATTTCCCAGGCTTGACAGAGTGGCTTAATGTAGCAGATGTCTGGTAGGGTCCAGTGGCACGGCCTCTATTACACAAGGTGTGCCCACTGTGCGGGCTATCTACAACCATCTCTTACAGTTGAGCCTTAATTACTGTTGGCACATCCAAGGTCAGCTACTGAACGTATGTTCTGTCCAGGGTCACATTAGCTAGAAAGCAATCTGCAGATGGCTGCTTGGAGGTGCCCAGGAGAGGTCAGGCTGTGAACAAAGGCCAGTTGCTGCTAGTGCCAGGCTTGGAGCAACTTAGTGAGAAGTATGGGGCTCACTGAAGCCAAATGCTGTTTGTTTGAGAGACTTTAGGAAAATCTGAAGCATAAGCCAATGCAAGAAATTCATATGGAATAGCCACTGGAAACAGCTTAGTTGGGCCTGAAACTTGGGTGGGAATCATCAGCATGGGGCAAACGGTGTTAGCTAGGATGACAGAATCTCAGATACAGCACCTGCCTGCTAGCTCTGTGAAGGAAGGGCTCAGAAAAGGGAAAATGGTCTCTGCTAGCACTTCTGTCTGGGAGAAAGCTGTCCTCCAGATCTTGCCCTGATGCCAGACAATTCAGTTCCACCCTGTGTACTTCTGATGCCTTTCAATCTGCTGCCCTAGCACTGGAGGTCAGAGGGAGTAAATTCAAGTAAGTCTGTGCATGGGCTCTTCAAGAGGAACTGCTGAGATTCTAGCAGTTTCTGTCTTCCACAGCCTCAATCCCTGCTGGTTTTTAGAGCTAGAAGTTATGGAGACTTATTTTCCTGGCACTGGAACGCCAGACTGAGGAGACTCATGTAGGGCTGGACCCTTCACTCCTTAGATATTCCTCCTGATTTTTATCTGTCACACGTGGATACAGGACCAGCCCATTCCACATCTCTGTCCCTCCTACCAGTCTCAATGTGCTTTCTTCTTTACTTTCATAGTTAAAGGACTTCCATTTAGTCAATTTCTGATGGTTCTCCAAAGTTTAATTTTTTAATGTACTTTTAAAAAAACAGTTTTACGGACATAGCTAAACAAGGATGAGCTACTTTTAAATATTTCCATCTTAATATTTTATCAAAAGAAACAGTAATAAACTTTCATTTTCCTTAATAATATTGAGGTAAGTTACGTTACGGTTTCTTAAGCTGTGTTTTTACCTTTTAAAAAATGAAAGTGGTCATTTAAAAAGAAATTGCTACTAGTAAAGTAACAACAATTAAAGGTCGCAAACTCATTTGACCTCATCAATGAAAATAGAACTTTCAGTTTTGCTATGTGAAATAAGGACTAAGTCTCTGATACAACTATTTTAAACGAGGTACTTATACATAAATCTTGTTATTTAACTCTTGTCATATACTCACCTTAAATCATTAGTTTGCTGTGAAAGGTTAAGTATTTCATGGATAGTTTTTAACCGACTTTACTGAAGGACAAGTTACATTCAATAAAATACACCCACTGGAACTTGAAGGATTTTTCTAGGATAATGAAAATGCATATCTTGATCTGGATGTTGGTTTACAGGTGTATAAGTTTCTCAAAACTCATCAAAATGAAGCACTAAGATCTGTGCATTTTATTGAATATAAATTATACCTCAATTGTATAATTACAGACAAATAATTAAGAATCTACTTTCCAAAATACTACTGATTTGCATAGAAAATGTAACGCTGAATGCTATATGTACACTATGATTACATAATAGATACACTGATTTAATACAAAATAAATGAACATAACATCCCCTCCACCTACCACAGTGCTGTTTGAACCACAGTGGATTTAGGTTCAGTGGTGGGCTGAGATTGAGGATATGACCAATTTTACTTTTTTTCAAATAGGGAATACATACTTTAGACCTGAAAACAAAAGAAAACACAAGTCAAATTAATAGCTTTCTAACAACTGCCCCACTTTTTAAAGTTATATTTTATTATATTTTAAACTATTTCTAAAGAACTACTGAATTTGTTCAGTAATTCATAGGGCACTTTTTACTCTTCCTGTAGCTTTGTTTTTACTCTTCTAGAATGAACATAGGTAAAGCAGCTAATTTTCTTCCTTGAAACTTTGCTTAATGGCCTGACAACATAATCTGCTCAATGATAATAATGAAATCCTTGTTACATTAGCCTTAAATCATTGTTACATTAGCCTTAAATCATTGTTACATTAGCCTTAAATCATTGTTACATTAGCCTCAACTACATTCTCCAAATTCTCTTTCTCCAATACGCACACACACACACAGAGTTTTCAGTAACAATCAATGTACTTGTCAGACAGCACATGTACTTGTACTGTGGTAAAGAACATGGGTGTTCAAAGCATATAAACCTGGGTTCAAATCCTCCCTCTGCTCCTTCCTTGTGTAATCCTGGGAAAAATACACAGCATTCTACTTCTCAGTTCTCTCATTTGTAAGTGTTGGTAATACCTGCTACCATTTAGGGTTGATCAAGGGTGTAAAATGGGATATATATAAGATATTTAAAACAGTACATATGCTAAACGTGAAATAAACAGCTGCTATTATCAATATTATTTAGGCTGACTTATTTCCTCTCAGTAGGTGTGGTATTCCTACTATGCTGGAATTGTAGTTTAACAACATAACTCCCAACAGATTCCCAAATTCAATTTGCACCAATATGCAAAGCAATATGACTTTGGGGGCAATATTTAGTTTTATTTTTAAAAAATACTGTTTATAGTGTAGTACTATTCATAGTACAATTTATTTTATAGGAGACTCAGGTACAATATTTAAAATTTTTTCATTATTAAGCTAAAACATGTTAAAGCTTAACATAGTATAGCTTAATAATTTTATAGCTTTTGGTTTTATTGTACATTCCATAACTTCTAGTCTTTAAACTTATCCATTCTTCTTTCAAGTCAGTTTTCCTACTATCAAATGTACAACACTCTTGTTACCATCAGCAATGCATTTTCAAGTTTATAAATCAAATACAATCAATATTACTAAGGGGTTTTTATATATTATTCCTTTCCAAAGGTGCTTCTCTCATACGAGGGCGAAATGGAGAGGGGCACACAATATTGGAGCTGACGACCATTAAAACAGTGAAGTGTATCTCAAAACATCACTAGGAAACAAACCGAACCTATTCCAGGCAATAAGACCATATCTGACATTCAAAGGAAAGGGCTCATTGTATTTACATTAGAAACACGAGCTTCTCCTTTGATCTGTTAGACAAAACCTTCTACCCACACTTTGCCTGCTGGCTCTCATCATTAAAAATCCTAAATCAGGTGCATTTTCCTACAGTTAATATGCTCTGTCTTACACATTATATTGAAAACTCTTAGTACCATGCTTAAATACTAATACCTTCAGCTTAATAAAATAAGTTTACTGAAAACTTACTGTAAGCTCAAAGGCCTATAACATATTTGAGTCAATAAATAAAGTGACCTGGGTATAGGAAAAATCAACTGTTCAGAAATACAAACTTATAACTGAATTTCCATAAGCACCTAACATGATAACAAATACACATACTACTGAAGATTACACATTTAATTAAAACTTAAAAATAAAAATTAAAGGCCTACCTTGTACCTCACCTCTGCCTTCCACCCCACTAAACCACTAAAACACAAGTCACAGGCCCTAGGGTCCCTGGGCAACAGGATCAAAAAACCGTTCCAGATTCTTGCCAAGACCTCCAAATAGGTCAGTTCTTTGGGCCTTACCCCCACTTTTTCCCTGAGAATGCTTCTCAAGCCTCCCTGATAAACAATATATAATTATCTTACATGAATGAATGAGTGTCACCAAATAAAAAACAAAACAAAAATTAAAATGGAAATGTCTTGTTATAAATTTCTCTTTCATAACTTAGACCTTTCGTAAGACCAACAAACTGACACCTTCTCTTTTTTCCAAAGGTTTTAATGTCAACTCTTTGATTTGGCATTGTAATAAGCCTGTACTTGGGAGCAGTATTTAATTTAATTAATTAATTTATTTAAATAACAGCTGTTCATAAATGTAGGAACTTTCAATAGTAAATAGAATCTTTGTTTTTAGAAAGTGTTTTTATTTTAGACTATCTATCCCAAGGTATTTGTAGCTCTGTTTTTCCAACATATTCATGTTTAGTTTTTGGTACCTAAGTGCCCTACAGCTGATATATTCCATTTGTAGTTCTTTAACTACAGAAATAGTATTCACTGAGAAAGGGAAGTGAAGAAGGTTAGTTCCTTATATTACCATTTGAAATCACATTTTGTTATGTTTTATTTTATTTTAAACTGAAACTTCAAGTCTACAACTGTAGAAATGTAGTTTAGGCTATCATTTTCATTTTTGGAAAATGACCTCAGTATGGATAAGGGTCCAGATTGCTCTTGCCAAATGGGTCTTCCAAAGATATAATTTCACAAGGAATGAATAATGAGAATCATGCATTTGTGTTTACTAAAAGTCATGTCAGCTAAAAAGGCCACATCTTTGACCAATTTTTCTTTGGGAACTGAATTGGGAATTTTCTCTTGGGTGGCAAACAGTCAATTTCTTCAACAACACAACATGTTTACACAATCTTGTCATACAGCAGGCAATCATGTTTATATTCAATATGAGTAACTGTCCGTGTTTCAAACTACAGAGGTGTAGTTGGTACTTAGAATTCATAACACAGCCCATTTTTTACTTTTTAGCAAGGCACTTTTTTGTATCTTTGTATCTAGTGAACAAAAGAATAAACAAACAGCCCCGATTGCTGTGGCTCAGTGGATTGAGTGCTGGCCTGTGAACCAAAGGGTCGCTGGTTCGATTCCCAGTCAGGGTACACGCCAGGGTTTCAGGCCAGGCCCCCAGTAAGGGGCACATAAGAGGCAACCACTCACTGATGTGTCTCTCTCTCTCTTTCTCCCTCCTCTCCATTTGAAAGTAAAATAAATAAAATCTTTAAAAAAATGAACAATTTCTGAACCTCTATGCAACATTTCTACAATAGTTAAGTTTTTAATAAGTATAAAGTTAACACTGACTATTACAGCAGCATTGCCTATAGTTATGATTACTAATTTTCACAAATCTACAGAAAACTTCCTAAGATATTTCTCAATATTTGACAAGCCATTTCCTGATGTTCATGTCCAGGGTACCTATGATTAAATTTTTTAATCATATCAAAATTCTCCCGATACTAAATAAATATAACTAGGTGGGTGGAATATTTCTATTTGTGGCATCATCATCTACAATAGAAACTGCCACATACGACTTGACTTTTTCATAAACCACGTCCTTCTAAACTTTAATTCGATATACTGAGCAATAGTATCTCTGGCTAGACTTATATTTTTAAACACTTGTTTAAGTAAGTGTTTATATTCAATCAAAATTATTCCACAAAATTACCAGCTGTAAAAGATTATGATGCCCAGACCAATTCTTCGTGTAACACATAACTGCACCACACAGCAGCATTGCTTACTTTATGTGAAAATAAACACAAACCCTATTGAAATGGTAGTCCCTTTTCTAGTACATTAAGTTTTTCATCACTATCTTTTCTATATGTTTGCTGTAGTTCTTACTATGGTTGGATTCACTATGTTTTCCATTCAATAGAGATATACCATACATACTGAATTTACAGAAACATGACCCATCTACAAAGAAGTAGACTCTCCCTCATTTCAGGTGAACATATGGCCCTCTTGGAATATGTCTCATTTTCCCACTTCAGGTAAGAGAAGTGTGTATGAGAAATATTTTACTTTCCTCTTTAACGTAAGAAAAACAACAGTACAAATATAATAATAAATGGCAACTTTTTAGCCTGTCCTCAGCATCCGGAACACAATGGAGCTCAGGCTCCACTGAATGCAGCAGCTGATATCCTGCTACTCAGCTATACCAGCTGTTGTCATGTGGGAATGCTGTCTCTGTGGGGCCAGATTTTCAAAAAAGGCCAGAAAGCTGGAGTTTTGTCTAAATCTCCTGTTTTTAATCATGCAGGAAACTAATGAAATTTTTTAAAAAGATTTTTAAATTCCCTGGCTGGCGTAGCTCAATGGATTGAGCGCGGGCTGGGAACCAAAGTGTCCCAGGTTCGATTCCCAGCCAGGGTACATTCCTGGGTTGCAGGCCATAACCCCCAGCAACCACACATTGATGTTTCTCTCTCTCTCTGTCTGTCTCTCTCTGTCTCTGTCTCTGTCTCTGTCTCTCTCTCTCTCTCCCCTCCCTCCCTTCTCTCTCTAAAAAAATAAATAAATAAAATCTTTAAAAAAAAAAAGATTTTTAAATTAATTTTTAGAGAGGGGAAGGGAGGAAGAAAGAGAAGGAGCGAAACAGCAATGTATGGTGGTGTGCCCCCTTCTGGGGACCTGCCCTGCAACCCAAGCATGTGCCCTGACCGGGAATCAAACCAGCAATCCTTTGGTTTGCAGGCCGGCGCTCAATCCGCTGAGCCACACCAGCCAGGGCACTAATGAAATTTTTAATGTAGATAATCATAAAAACAAATCTTTTAACATTGTTAGAGCCAAGTTTTGCTGACCCAATAAAACACAACTGAGGGCAAAGTTCAGAACAACAAACTTTACATTTAACCCTTATGACCAATCCTAGGCCATACTTAATCATCCCCACTTTACGAATGAGGAAACAGAATCTATAAAGAGGTTTAGTTACAGTTACCAGACAGCAAGTCATGATAGCATGTGGTGGACAGGACTGGAATCCTACTCAAGGGAGTCTGACTTTAAAGCCTAAGGTCCTAACTACCTGTTCTATATATACATGTAAGATAGATACATATAAGGCAGACAAGCAAGTTCTGTGCTTGACTACACTTTAAACCATATTGCTAATCTGATTCAAACCGGTTTACAACTAGTTCTTAGAGCAAACATTGCAACATTCTTCCCGGCAACTCTCTAACTTACGTAAGGTAGGTGCCTCTGGTGTTGACATTCATCATCAAATCCACCTTCTTCACAGGTGTTTCCAATGTGTTGGTCAAGCTAATAGCACTGGCATTATTCACCAAGATATCAATTCCTGTTTTTAAAAAATCAAGTTCCTATTAATATAATTCAAACTGTGTAACAAAAAACGGAATAAAAAAACATTTACTCTGTATAACTGAACCCTAAGTTGGCTCACAAATACTTCTTTTAGAGAAAGTGACTAACCAATACACCAATATAAGACTAAGTAGTGATGTCACAAATACCAAAATGATTTTCACTGGCTCCACGAAGACTGCCAACCACCAGAGCTCCATGTGGAACTACAAGGAGGCTTTGTGGCTTCCATTCTTTTCTGATCTCATTCCTTCTTGTCTCCAAGCCCCTAGGTTAACTTCCTTAAAGTTGCCCCTCCTCTCTAGCATCTTCCCAAGGCCCGCCCTCCTTCCAAACACACAGGTCTCCCTCCCTTCTAAGGCCCTTACTAAATAGAAGAGCTCCTTTCTGGTCCTGAGAAGTGGGAAAAGAGAAAAGATCCAGAGTTTCAATTCCAGGCAAATCACCAGAGTAAATCAAGTTTGTTTTGGTAACTCATTCATACGATAATTCCTGCATCTTCTACACAGTCCCCCCCATATGTAACATAAGATTATGTTAATTAAAGGGAGGCAAAAGAATGGGATCTGTGGAACTAGTTTTGGTTAGATGTCAGTAATTGTCAAGGTCCTAGCTTTATACTAGATGGTAGACTTATTATATTATTCAAAATAATTCTTACCAAATCAAAAATATTCATCAGATGGGTTTTAAGCTACATTTCTATATGAACAATACTCATTTCTGATTATACTCCAAAGATTCAGAAAAACTGAATAATTTAATTAAAATTATGGTTATACCTATATCTTATGAAAAGTCAGTAAGATTTAAGGCACTACCTCCAAATTTCTTGACTGCTTGCTCCACTGCATTACTGATTTGCTGTTCATCTCTCACATCAACAATACATGGTAAGGCCTTTCCTCCAGCAGCTTCGACTACAATGGATAAACAAAGAGAGCATTAAAGCATGCAAATAGTAAACCTTTCATTCTGATATAAGAGTCAAAAGAAAGAAGTATCATATTTTCAGAAAACCAACATAAATAACTGTGTCTTATAACTACCAGTGACTCTGCCCTGTAGTAAGACAGACTGACTAGTCCATATCCAGCTTCACATTAGGTAGGCCAGTTCCATTAAAAACAAAGCAGAATTTACAAACTCTATTACAAAGCAAAAAATGGAAGGTAATTTCTAAAAACTTTATTTAAATTTTTTAAAAAAATATATAGAACAGTTTAATGAACTACCATGAATCTATCACCTATCTTTGATGATTGTTAATGTGCAGCCAGTCTGATTTATCTATGTCCAATGCTGATGTATTTTAAAATAAACCCCAGACACCACTTCACTCATCAATACTTCATAGGTATTCCCCAAACATAGCCACAATACTATCAACATAACAGAACCAGCAATCTCAACTAAATTGAATTTTTGAGCTCTTCCTCCAGGAACTGTGATTTGCACAATGCCTTGAATATAAGCACTTGATAATAATTTGTGAAGCGAAAGTGTTAAAATAATGATTTGCAAGTGGTATAGAAAATAAAAACATGGAGAGTATTTTCAGAGTATTCACGTCATCCACCTCTCACATTCTTCTCTATTTCCACTCCCCATTCTCTGCTCAGATCCAAGAACCACTGCCCTCATGGGACACGAGTTTTAATGGCAGTCTCTCATAGCACTCAAAAGTGCTGGGGGAGAAAAACAGTTCCCAATCACTGCCTAAGGTGACAAAATACTTTAAGCAGATAAAATTATTTTTAGGGTAGCTTTCAAATACCTAAAATTAAACTCTCCAGCAAATTCCCTATGTAGTGACATCATGGTGAGAACATTTCATGAAATGGCATTGTCACATTCACTCACTTTCTTCAGCAGCAGTGTAGATAGTGCCTGGAAGTTTGGGATGTGCATTACTGGTCTTCGCAGCAATCACAATATTTGCTCCATCCTTTGCTGCTTTCAATGCAATAGCTTTGCCAATGCCACGGCTTGCGCCTGTGATAAAAACTGTAGCTCCTGCTAGCTTCCTACAACAGAACAAATATGGCCTTTTTATAAACCTTGATGTTTTATTTACTTACCAGCATACAAAACACACGCATGTTTTTGCAATACATGTTTCCTCCTCTGTGAAACTTTCTCTAAACCCTCCTTCTTCCCTACCTGGTTAGCTAATAACTCTACTGCTCTCCTACTGCACATGATTTATAAATTATTTATTACAACTGCTGTTGGCCAGTCTTGCAGTGATTTGGCAAACAAAATCTGCTCAAATGAAAAGTAAATCTTAAAGAGAAATGAGAAGTTAATAAACTATATAAACATGTATTAATTTCCAAAAAAAGTATTGATGAAGCTTATTTTTAAGTGGTAGAATTATGAACAGATTTTATCATTTTTTATCCTCACTCAAGGACATGCTTATTAATTTTAGATAGAGAGAAGGGAGGAAGAGAGAGAGGGAGAGAAACATCAGTGTGAGAGAGGAACGCTGATCAGCTGTCTCTCATACACACCCCAACCAGGGACCAAACCCACAGCCTTAAGCATGTGCCCTGACCAGGAATCAAACCTGTGACCTTTTGGTTTACAGGAAAACCCCCTGACCAATGAGCCACACCAGCAAGGGCTATCATATTTTTCATATTCTTTGGCATTTCAAATTTTCCACAATAAATACATACCACTTAAAAGAAATGATCTAAAAGCAAACAATTATTCAATATATGTCCATCATTATTCATAACAGCCAGAGTGGAAGCAATGTAAATGTCAATCAACTGATAGATGGATATATAAAATGTGGTATATCCTTACAGTGGAACATATTCAGCAATAAAAATAAATGAAGTACTAATCCATGCTGCATCATGGATGAACCTTGAGGACATTATGCTAAGTGAAAAAAGCCAGTCACAAAGGACCACAACTGTATGATTCCACTTACATGATGTGTCCAAAATAGATGAATCTATAGAGATGCTAAGATTAGTCGCTGCCTAGAGCTGAGGGTGGGAGGTATCGGGGGCTGACAGCTGAGGGTTGTGGAGTTTCTTTTGGGGTAAGAAATTGATAAAAAATTTTTAAATTAATTACCATAATGGTTGCACAACTGTGTAAATATACTAATAGTCACTAATATACTAATATTCATCTATCCGGAATTTCAGAGAGTTCTAGCCCAGGTGACTACTTGATTTCAGACTTTTGGCCTTCAAAATTGTGAGAGAATTAGTATCTGCTTAAAGCCACTCAAAGTACTTCATGGTACTTTGTTATGGCTGCCCTAGGAACTACTGCACTCTTCCCCATGGTGCAACAAATATTCTTGTACACTTCTTCCCGTCACTTGAGCAAGAGTGTCTCTAGAGCATATGTATTTACTGGTGAAACTGCTGGATTAGAGGACATTGCTGTGGATTTAACACGGCCACAAATCCTTTGGCATTCCTTCCACCAGAGCAGTATATTTTCCCCCTCCCCTTGAGTCTGGTGTAGCCTTATGGTCTTTTTTTAAGAAACAGAATGTGATGGAAGTAATATTCTGGGATTTCCAAGCCCAGGCTATAGATAACTGACAGCTTCCACTTTCTCTTTCTTGGAAGCCAGATGCCATGCTGCAAAGAACAGGGACAGATTACTATGTAATGAGAGGCCATGACAGAGAGGACCTGGAGGGTGAGATGCCTTTTAGAACATTCTGGCCCCAGACAAGGACCCAGCTAAATGTAGCTATATGCATGACCTTAACATACACAGAGCAAAAAAAAAAAATCACTCAACCCAAAAAACTGTGAATAACAATAAACCACTGCTGTCTTTCAAAAGTTTTATGGTTTATCTTTTAAATGTTGGTCTTTAATCTGCCTAGAATTTTTATATATAAATTAAGGTGACCTAATTACATTTTTTCCCATACGAATAACCAACTGTCCCAGTCTGAAAAGCCCATCTTTCTCACAGTTCTTCAATGCAAGCTTTGTTGGAGACTAAATCCCCAAAAATATATAGATTTGTTTGTAGGCTTTCTTTTCTGTTCCACTGGCCCATAAAAATCACAGTGTTTTGATTACAATAGCTTTCTCAGTCCTGATAACTTATTGGGAACCGCCCTGCCTGGTTTCAGAAGCTGTAACCACCCCCATGGCTAAGGCTGAGTGAAGGACCTTGGGACCATAAGCCACTAAGGAGACAAAGCTTATCTTCCTGGCAGGGAAACTGCCTCTACCCCCTTTTACTTCACCCTCCTTGGCCCAGGGGGTGGGGGAGGATGACTGGTTAGCCAATGATGGGTAAGATTCCTCAAGGGAGGGATGACCTAAGACAGGCACAGTCATGATGGGGCCCTTAGGGAAGGACTTGCGGGACTATAGAAAAAGGGGGTGATGAACCCTCACCCCTTGGCTTTGACATAGCCTGAGTCCTCATTCTGTTGTGTAAGAAGTCTCCTAATCTCTTGGCTGCCTTACTTACCCTGCCTGACTTAAGCCTGAAACAATGCCAGTGGGAGGTGCAGCCCTGGGCAGAACAGGTGGTTCCCCAGGGTGATCAGGCCTGATAAAGAATGCATAAAATCCTCTGAAACCTGCTTTGCTAAGAATGCTCTCAATTAAATGATAAGGGCCCGAGCAGGAAATAAGTTTGCTTCCCAAAGTTTTATGGCCCTTTAGCTAACAGACCCTGACTCAGAATAAGTGCTCCTAGTTCTTTGTATGGTACCTATTGTTGATTCTTACTGCCTGACAATGACTAATGAGCTTTACCTGTATTCCTGTGCAAACTGAACCCAATAAAAGCCCACTGAGGAACAGGCTCAAGGCTCTTCTCCTTTGAGAGATCAGCCACCTTTCCTCCCCATGCAGATCATGTGTTGGTAGACTTATTCTCATCTGTGGAGGATTGAAGGGGGAGGGGGGGGCCTGTGGGCAGAGCCCCCCCACAGTAATTAATAAGGCAAATACTTTCCATTTGTTCTTCTTCAAGAGTTTCTTGGCTATACTTGAACCTTCACTTTTCCACATATATTTTAGAATCAGCTTAGCTAATAACTGCATAAGCAAAATCAGTTGGATTTTTGATAGAAATTGTATTGAATCTATAACTTAATTTAGAGAGAACGGACATGTTTAGACAATGAGGGCCCCAATCCATGGACATGGTATTATTCTCTGTTTAAGTCTTCTTTAGTCTTTCAATGAATTGTGAAACTTTCTACAGAAGGGTATTATACATCTTTTGCTGGCTTTGTTCCCCGGTACCTCATTCTTTCTAACTTTTTATTTGTAAATATTTTCCCTTTTTTTATTGTCATGCAATCACAGTTGTTCCCATTTTCCCCCACGTAAATGATTTCTAAGAAAAGTTGCAAGAATAAGAATAGTGCAAAGAAAACACATATATCCTTTACCCAGATTCATATATTGTTAACATTTTACCCCCCTGCTTTAGCATTTATGCTCATTTTCTCTTTCCCTTCCTTTCTGTATATGTTATTTTTTTGAATTACTTAAATGTAAGTTGAATGTCATGTCATGGCCTATTATTTTACATAACCACTATAGAATTATCAACTTCAGCAACTATAACATTGATACAATATCTACTTTTATCAAACATACTGCCAACATTTCAATTTTGTCAATGGATGCAAATAATGCCCATTAGAGTAATTTTTGCCCTATAGTACAGGACCCAGTTTAGAACCAGATAATGTATTTAATTGTCATATCTCTTCAGTCTTCTTTAATCTAGAACATTACTGCAACCTCTCTTATCTTTTATGATACATGTTGATTTTTTGAAGAATGTAGTGCCACTCATTTTTAAAAATGAATGCTTCTCACTTTGGATTCAGTTGTTATGTCCTCATGATAGATTCAGGCTATTTATTCCCAGCCAGAATATGAAATACAGTGTCCACAGTGTATCACACCCGGAAGCACAAGATATCCATCTGTACTTATGGTGATATTAATTTCGATCACCCAATCATATTATTATTTCTCCACTGTATAATTACCATTCTTTCCTTTACAACTAATAAACAATCAGTGCAAAGACATTTAAGGACATCATTAAAATTTTATTATGGAATTTTCAAATATATTTAAAACTACAGAAAATAGTATAAGCTCCCATGTTTAACAATTCAACAATTATCAAAATTTGGAGTGATTATCAGAAAGCAAATCTCAGAGGTCATATAATTTCACCTCTAAATATGCATCTTCAACTTTTACATAGCAATGTCATTATTACAGCTAAAAAATTAACAATTGCTCTATGTCATTCAGTACCTACCCATATTCAAAGTTTATCATGTCCCAACTATTGATTAAAAAGCCCTTTCTCTTTGCCTCCAGTCTAGCTAGATTGATTCTCAGTAGAACAAAGGACATCTTCCTCCTCATTCAGAGTCTCAGGCATTGCTGAAAGAAAGGCAAAAGCAGCTTCTCCTCATAACATGAACCCTGGCTCCCTACTACAAAGGAACTCCTCCAGCTTTAAGGCATTAGAACCTAGGGGTTAGCAGGGGATCCTCATTGCATAAATGGAAAGGAAGGAAGGGAGGAAGGGAGGAAGGGAGGGAGGAAGGAAGGGAGGGAGGGAGGGAGGGAGGGAGGGAGGGAAAATTTCTCAGTACATAAATGGCTAAAACTTGCTACTGTAGAAATAAGCTACACTACAATTTACCAAAATTCTCTATACCTCAAAATCAGCATAATGGTGATAAAATTTGAAACTATTTTTAAAGAGAAAAATCACTTTTAAAAAACTATACAAGCTATTCTAAAGTTCATTTTGAAAAATAAACATCCAAAAATTACCAGGAAGATTCTGAAAATAAAAAAAAAATCCGAATGAGGTGGGAACTAGACTTCCAAGATATTAAAAACACTTTATAAAAGTACAGTATTTATGGCTGGCGTAGCTCAGTGGATTGAGCACGGGCTGCGAGCCAAAGTGTTGCAGGTTCGATTCCCAGTCAGCCCACATATCTGGGTTGCAGGCCATGGCCCTCAGCAACCGCACATTGATGTTTCTTTCTCTTTCTCCCTCCCTTCCCTCTCTAAAAATAAATAAATAAAATCTTTAAAAAAAAAGTACAGTATTTAAAATTGCTTGGTACTGGTGCATGTAGAGACAGATTAAAGTAATAAAATTTTAAAAAATCAAGAATCGGACCCCTATACATACAAGAATTCAGTATAAGATAAAGGTGGAGTTTCTAACAGAAAGGGAAAGGTAACTAGTCAGTCAGCTGTGCTGGGACAACTGTACAGCCAGCCACCTGAGCCAAAACGAAGTGGGCTTCATAACTCACTTCCTGTGCCAAAAGCCTATGCAAAATTTTCATGAAAAATTTGAGAGCCAAAGAAAACCCCCCGAAACATAAAAATACTAGATGATAGTTACCATTAAAAAAAAATATGTTGATTTAAGATGGCCTTAGAGGTTTGCACAAAAACACAAAAGACTTAAAAAAGACTGATAACTCTGACTCTTGTAAAAACACGTATCTGCATGACAAATAATGTAGTCAAAGTCAAGGCACAGGAAAAAATACTGAGAAAAATATTTGTGACACATATGACAGAACAAATTTTTTAAACTAGAGCTCTCAGAGATCAAAAACCTTATTGTGTAAGGCAAGCAAAGAAAAAAGATACAAAAATGTCTTTAAACCAGAATTTCTCAATCTCTGCACTACTGATATTAAAAGGTGCTTACCAGCATCCCCAGACTCCATCCATTAGACACCAGTAACAGCCCCCTCATTTTTATTATGGAACACTTCACTGTTTGCCAACACGTTGGATTAGGAAAGCTCATTCACTGCTTTGGGTATGCAACCTCTTTGGAGGGCTACTAGTATTCTATCAAAATTTAAAGGGTATATACTCTTTGATCCAGCAACCTCACTTCCAAGAATGTATCATATAGATACATTCAAATATATGCAAACAGATGACTATGTGGATAATCATTGCAGCAAAGATGGAGTAACAAAAAAATTAGAAGTGATCTGGTATCCAATGGTAGGGAACTGATTATATAAATTATGATGACTCAATAGAATACTATGTAACCATTAAAAGGGAAGAAGGGCTACATGTACTTAAAATGTGTGTCCTAAGTCATATTAGGTAAAAACAATAAGGCCCAGAAGAGAGTTTGCTACCATTAAAAGTGTGTGCAATGCCAATACACAGAGGATGACTATAGAATAGTACACTTGAAATTTACATAATCTTATTAACCAATGCCACTCCAATAAATGTAATAAAAATTTTGAAAAATGTGCTGTGTATTCAGGGTAATATACAAATATATTTACAAATGAACATAATATCTTTGGAAAAAATACCAGAGAGCAACAGAAGGACTGGAAGTTAAGGATGACGAAAATCACTTAAGTGACACTCAAAAGTTGAGCTGTTTAAGTCTTTTGGGCATGGGTTTGTATGTTTCAAGCAAATTGCATATTGGACATTCCATTCAGCTCAATACACCCATACTTCACAGAAACAAAGTAGAACAGTGGTTGCCAGGCGCTGAGGGGAAGAGGAAAAGGGATGTTTAAGAGGCATAGCCAGAATTTTCAGTTGAAAAAGTTCTAAAGATTGGCTACATACCAATGTGAATATACTTAACACTACTGAATAATACTACACTGAAAAATGGTAAGATGTCAAATTTTGTTGTGTATTTCACAACTGAAAATCTTTTTAAAGTGAAAAAAAGTTCCCCATACCAAAATGCCTATATTCTGTTAGTTTTGTTTGTTACTAATTTGAAAATCACTTTTTAAACACGCCATTATTTCATCATTCCAGAATGAGTGCTCAGAACAAGAGAACACTCATGAGGTGCACAAATGTTCCAGCGACCTTTCACCTAGAACTTGCGTGCCTTCACCCAGACAGGCAGCTACAGTTCAATCCAAGATGGGGCCGGCCCTACGCGCGGCGGGGTAACCCACTCTGGATCCTTTACCTGTCGAAGATGTTTTTATACGGCTGCCACCCTGCCGTACACAACTTTGGGTTACTTCTCCCGCGTTAACGTAGTTCTAGAACACTGCGTCCAGCGTGGAGGAGATTCATTAGTCCTCCCACCGCCTCCAGGCCCCTCCGAGCATCTATGCTGACTTACACTACCCGACCCGGTCTTTCCCAGTGGCGACCCCAAATCCTTACCCTGTATTGGGTAACATGATTTCGGTAGATGAAGGTCGGTGGCGAAAAAGCAGCAGCAGGCAGATAGTGAGAGGCGGTTCTTCCCTCCGCTTTTAGTTGCGCCCCAGACAACGCCCCCGAGGCCCCGCCCCGAGGTTTGCGGAGAATGGGCTCTGAAAGCAGTCGGAGGTTGCTGAGTACGCATGCGCACGCAGTTGGCCCCTCTCTCTCTCTCCCCCCCTCCCTTTCCTGGCCCTGGAAACCGATCCTATGCGCAAGCGCGGTAAAAGACAACTCTGCCCCGCCCCTCTCGTGGGCTCTGCAGTGACAATCGGTATCCCGCGCGTATCTAGATTATGGGGCGCGTCCGCCGTTACGTTTGCCTTTTCCCTGCCTGTAAAGGGTTCCTCGACGCAGCACTGCGTTCTGTTGCCAGCAGGGTTGCCGTTTGAGTCGTGATTTAGAGACCTTGTGGGCTGAGATGCGGCTTTTCAGTCGACCTTCCCTCCACGCCCAAACCTGAGCTGGTGGCTTACCTTGGAGGCTCCCTTTAGGAATACTTTTCGTCGCGGATACTCACTTTCTGCCAGAAGCCAGCCAGCGTCGCATTTCGACTCTCGCACTGAATCTGGACGAAAGCCGACCCGACCTCGCGGGTCTGGAAATAGTACTAGTGAGGAGCAGCTTCTGGATCAGAGCTCTTTGCAATAGTCACGCCAAATAAGTCAGTTAACTCTGGTTTTTCTTCTCTTAGCTGATAGTGAGGCAAATCCCAATCTCTGTGCTGGAATAAGGTTAATTCTGGGATCCAGTGTTGCTTTTGGTAGTATACCTTGGACATAACACAGCTACTCTAAAGACTGGCATATTTTTAGGTAGACTTGAAGAAATTGCTTTGTACCGTGAAGCGGTAGAAAGGATTGATTATGAGGAGGTTCTTTATGAGGACTAAAGAAGCTCTCCAGGGGTATGTATCCCACTTATTTACAAGCCCCAAATGGTTCTATTTACTCATATCACTTGCCATTCTCCTATAGACATTTGAATTTGCTCTCCATGATATGGTGCTTAGGTACTCAGGAGGAAATTACTTGTATGTGCTGCTCAGATACAGCAGAACAAAAAGGACAAGGTCTCTGACTACAGGGGAGGAATGAGAAGTAGCTAATGTGCACTTGAGACTGTTGTTAATATTAAGTGTTTTAGAAAGTGTTGATAGGGGCTGTTCAGTGAAGAAACTCTCCACTCAAAAGAGTGAAAGGACAACTTACAGAGTGGAGAAAATATTTGCAAATCAGGTGCCTGATAAGGTCTAGTACCCAGAATGTATAAAGAACTCTTAACTCAGCAACAAAAGATGAACCACCCAATTGAAAAATAGGCAAGGATCTGAATAGACATTTCTCCAAAGAAGTTATACAAAAGGCAAACAACACACTTAAAGATGCCCAACAGCATTAGTTATTAGGGACATGCAAATCAAAACCAAAATGAGACTCCACTTTAACACCCATAGTATGGTTATAATAGAAAAGATGGAAAGTGTTGGCCATGATGTGGAAAAATTGGAACCTTGTTACACTGCTGGTGGGAATGGAAAATGGCACAGCCACTTTGGGAAACAGTTTTGCAGTTCCTCAAAAAGTTAAACATCTGCTCCCAGCTACTGGATAGCTACATGAAATTATATTCTTAGAAGTATACCCACGACATGAAAATGCTCAGAATAACCACCAGATGGCACTGTTTTTTTAATTCAAAATATAATACCACAAAATGTTAATTTATTAACAATGTGCTATATTATAACTTAGTTTGGATTAAGGCAAAAACAGCATGAGATCTCAGTAGGACCCCCATAAAGGGGAAATAAAAGCAGGTATAAACTTCAAATTCTTAAAACTATTATTAAAATAGGACGTGATACTCAATTCATTTTATATTAATTATAAAAGTCAAACTTGTCACTTGTTTTGTGACTTCTAAAGTCTATTAAGTTTAGTTCTCCAATATTAAAAAGTAATTTTCAGATGTATGAGAGATTGAAAATGCCAACTTAAATTGAAACATCAAAAGATATGACATTGAAAACAACTTTAAATTATCAAAAAAATTACTCTCCTAACCCTGGCCCTCTATATAAGAATATACTTTTTAAGTGTATAATGCAGTAACATTCATGTTTTTTTATCACAACCCACATAAGGAAATAAGTTTTTATCCAGACCCAGTACACTCACAGTTTTCTATTCTATTTTATTTGATTTTATCTGACTTATTGTTTGTAAGTTGGTCATAACCTAGTAAATTATCTCGATGACTCATTAATGGATCTTAACTTACCCTTTGGAAAACATTGCTTTAGTGTATTGTAATGTGCCATTGTAATTTTTCAACTTGCCTTTTAAGATACCCTAAGCTTCTCCAGTCAAATATAAAATTACCAATTAATGGTCAGAGGCCAGCAATACAATGTGACTAAGAGCAGAGGCTTTCAATGGCTTTGAATGAGTCAGGGATCTCAAAACTTTCCATTTCCTTCATGCACAAGACAGCCCACTCTAGTTCAGAAGGTTAAATGGGAAAATCCTTGGGGTTTTGAGGGTATGGCAATTGTTTCTCATGATGTTCCTAATCCTCCCCATAGGACTCCCAGCTTTGCCTTTTGTTGAATATCACCAATCATTACTTAATTAATAACTAATTACTGGATATTGAACTCATTGCTGTATTTTAATGTCAGTATCTTTCTGATAATACACAATTCCAACAATCTAGAAAAAGTGGAAGTTTGTCTCTAATACTATCCTTCAGAGGTAATCATTGAAAACAGTTTGGCATATATCCTTCAAGAGTTTGAAATTTTTATATAGATTCTAATCATTTTTAAAGCACTGGGGAGATATATACTATATTATTTTTGAAACTGTTTTTGTTTTACTTAATGTATCATAGACATCTTCCCAAGTTTACACCAAAAAGTTTACCTTAATGTTTTAATGGTAGGTGCATAGTTTTCCTTTATATGATGTACTCCATATTATTTTACCCATTGTTATTTTTGGTGGACATTTAACTTATTTTAAAATTGCCTTTATGGTAAACAGTACTGCAATAAAAGTTTTTGTGCATACATCATGGTTTACTAATCATACTACATTTCCCTAGAATATATTCCTGGTTTGCTCAATACACATTTACACAAATTTAATAACCTTTAGCTAAAGGTTGTGCTAGTAATTTACACCAGGATTTCTCAACGTTGCCATTATTGACCTTTTGGGTTGGATAATTCTGTGTTACAAAAATCTGTGTATATTCTGGATAATCTGTGTAAATCTGGATGATAATTCTGTGTTACAAAAATCATGTATATTGTAGTGTATTTAGCAGCATTCCTGGCCTGTATCCCCTACATGCCCCTCTCCCAGTTTTCTTTGTTCATTGTGGTAAAATATACATAATATTTACCATTTTAATTATGTGTAAGTATATATTTCAGTAGCATTAAGTACATTCCTATTGTTGTATAACCAACACCATCATCCATCTCCAGCCCCTTCCAGTTTTAACAACCAAAAATATCTCCAGAAATTACTAAATGTCTCCTGGAGGGCAAAATAGCCTGGTTGTTTACGCCATCACAGAGGTGAATGAGAAGCCCAAAATGTCAATGTCATTAAAAAAAAAAGATCAAGGATCTGTAATAGATTTAAAACGACTAAGAAGACATTACAACTAAATGCAACACATGATACTGGACAAGATCCTGTAAAGGAAAAAAATTGCTCTATTAACACATTTGACAAATTGGACTATGTACTACAGATCATTGACACAACGATAAATTTCATTGACACAAATTTATCATTGACACAACGATAAATTTCCTGAATTTGATAACTAATGTGGTTATATAAAAGAATGTCTGGGTTCTTTGTGTAAAGTATTAAGAAGTAAAAGGAAATGAATATGCACCAACTCTCAAAAGTGTGTGTGTGTGTGTGTGTGTGTGTGTGTGTGTACAGGGAGAGTGAGAGGTTGCTAAAAGGTGATTTGTGGTAAAGACATACTAGTTCTTTAATTATTACAACTCTTCTATAAACTTGAAATAAATTCAAATTAAAAAGCTTTGTTTTAAGTGAATGAGAATGCTTATAGCTAAAACTATTGATTGTTTGCTCATGTTCTTCAACTCCTGGTTCCTTGCTAATTTTGTTCATCAATGCTTCAGAAAAGGTAACCATAACTGCAGCCCAGGTCAAAATCCTATTACTCTAGGCAATGGTTCTCAAACTTCCATGTGTACCAGAATCATCTGAAGAGCTTTGCAAAGCACGGATTAATGGGCCAGACCTTCAGAGTTTCTGATTAACTAGGCCTTCAACCATGGAGTTGAAGAATTTGTATTTCCAACAAGTTTCCAGGTATTGTAAATGCTATTGGTTGGGGCACAAGAAGGCATTGATCAGTAGTTCCCAGACTTGTTTGCAAATTGGAATCACTTAGGGATCTTTTAAAAAGTCTAATGCCTGGGTCTTACTCCTAGTAATTCTAACTGAATTGGTATGGGATACACACAGGAAGTAGACTCAGGTAGTTCTAACACACAGCCAAGACTGAGAATCACTGATCTTGTTCATTGCAATCTTATTCCCCTTGTCAATGTCTTGTTTAGAATTGAGCATGTTATGCAGTGCTGACAAATGCTGGGAAAAAGTTTTCCTACTTTTAAGAGACCACACAATTGCCTCTTTTCTTCTAGATGTTATTTCTGGATATGATGCTTGGAACAGCTGTATCTATTTTGCAACCAGAAGGGGAACTGGCTTTCCCCTTTCCTATAGTGCCTTCAAAGGTAAACGTGCTCCTATAACATACACGAAGGAAACGGGGTTGGGGGCAGAACCCTTCTGCTAGTTTTCTAGTACTCCTGCAGCCTTAAGGTACACTGTGAGTTTTCCTCACTTCACAGCTGGCCATCTCCTAGAATTCCGGGAAACATTTCCCTCAGTGGACAACTGATCCTTTGCGTGAGGGCAAGCTGTGGAATGGGTGTGCGGATCAAGTCATATTTCACTTTTTTGTTCTGTTGGTTTATTTACCCTACCATTTCCACACAATTCATTGTCAACGAGTTGAGGCTTATGAAAGGGAATTACTATACATCAGCA